CATGCTGTAAGTATGGCTTCGATCTCTTTTATGGTTGATGAAAATTTGGGAAATTGGGGTATGAATCGGTCGTCTAGATTGTTAAATACTTGGTACCCTCCTCCTCCCAATTGGGTAAAAATTAATGTTGATGCTTCATTATTAAAAAATTACAAAGCTGGAATTGGTGGTGTTGTCCGAGACGATAAAGGAAGATTGGTTTTGGCTTATGGTCAATCTTCTATACATTGGGACATTGCTTCTCTAGAGCATTTTTGGGTCCAATTCATAAGAGAAATCAAGAAAGATTGGTTGCAAGACTATCAAGGAATTATCATAGAAGGAGATAACTACAATGTTATTTAATATTTGTAAGGCTTGGAAGGTAAGTAGAAAGATGATCTTTTATTGCTAAAAGATCATAAGTTTATTTTTTTAATTGAGTAAATAGAGAATGTAATAAGTTAGCTAATCTTTGTGCTAACTATGCCATTTGCAATAATTTCTGTTGGCAGGATTTTTCCTCTAGTAAGATTCCTTCCTTATTCTCAAAACTGTTAAGGGAGGAATCTTTAGTTTCTTCTTCTTTGTAATTTGTTTGCTTTTATTAATATGAGTTAGCCTTGTGCTTCTTCTTCTTCTTCAAAAAAAAAAAAAGAATATTTTGCATCACATTTCAACATAATACTTTTTACTCTATTTATCATATTTCATCAAGTGGAAGAGAGTTGATATAGCACATGCTAAGAGACCCATTATCAAATCCAAGATCAATGAGCTTGAAAAATAGTATTGTATTTTTATTCTTTTATTTTAATTTTCAAGTTATTTAGACAAAATATTGTACATAATAAGACATATTTTTAAATCATATTAATCAACCTAAATTATGTATTCAATATAGGAAATTAAATATTTAATTGGATTACTAAATTTTAGGGGTATTATCTATTTCAAAATATTAAGATATCTTGAGTGGGGAAGGTTAGTTGTTGTAGTCTATGGATGAAATTTCATGGAGATATTTTAGTGTATTTTTATATTTTTATCTGAATTGATTCAATAAAAATACTTTGGTCGCTTATTCAAAACTACATAAGTTGCATAAATATAACTCATTCAAATAGCAACTATTCAAACAGCTTACAAAATCTTATGTCTACACTGAGTTATTATGCCAACTTTTGAACAAATATATAAATCAATTATAGTAAAGGTTTTTTAACCCTAAAATATTCAACCCTCTCTTATTTCTTGTTCACCTACATTCGTAGACCTTTCCAAAGCCTTAAACTTATTCACTTTTCACAAAACTTGAAGAATACCTTTTACATAAAATCATAAATCCTTTCATCAACCTAATATGAATGGTTACTTAAGAAATTCAATTATTTATAATAGTATACATATTTGATCTAAATTCACAAACATTCAATATCTAACATCTCAAGCCTCTGATTTTAAAGTCTTTGACCTTTTTTCATTTAACAAAAAATTATTGTCATTCTAATACAATTTTTGCTAGACATATGTCTAGTAATCTTATATTTGTCAGCCATTTCATACCCTTCTATCAATCCTAAACATTTTCCCTCCAACCTAAAATCTTTTGAAACCTACTAATAACATTCTCATCAATTAGTCTGGATTTTAGGTTACAAAGGTTTAGTATATCAAATGACACTAAACTTTGTTGGAATGGGGTTGGTCTTTTGGATCTGAGGTGGATCAATATATACATTTGTAAATATTCATGGAATTGAGCAAGATCTTACATATATGAGAGTATGGAGATATATATCTACTAGAAGGAAGTGTCAATAAAAAAATCAAGAAAATGAAAAGTTTGAAGGCTTATGAACAAACAATGAGATTTAGAATCAATGGTTGATAAAGGTGAATATACTGGATGGTTACAAATATGATCGATTCAGAGGCAAAGATTTGCTCATAGTGAGAGGCTTAGTGAGAGAATCATTGATACAAATCTTTAACTAAAATATAGCCATTTACAAAAAATGAATAGTAAATGCAATGATAATCAGACAATTTCTTGCATGTATATCACTTCTAGTAATGGGAGATAAATGCTTTGGGTAATTGAAAGGTGCCTACAACTCTTTATATTGAGGGAAGAAGGGTATGTGTCAAAGCTCATGGGTTTCACATCTTAATTTTCATGACCCCTAACTCTTCGTAAGGTGCTTACTTATAGCCTATAAAAACTCAATAATAATTAAGTAGCTTAATAATAAGCTGACAATAGTTACTAAATACTCCTTAGATATTTATTCCTATAACTATATATTTTTTTTAAATTTCAAGATGTAAATATCAAGTTTAAGATCTACAACTAAAGCATGAATGACTGGTCCCTAAAAACCATATTGTCAAACGCTACACATTCGTGCCTGCTTGTTAGTTTGTAATCCATCAAAAAAGATTCAAAATTTTCTAAACAATCAATCACATGCACCTTATACTACATTGTTTTGTAAACCATTGAGCTCAATAAACTTATCTTTAAGAGAAAATTTTATTCACATGGAAAAAAATTACATATATATTGCCCCCATTTACTACAAATTCCATTAAATAAATGAACAATTTGTGCAAAATCATTTATATCAATCCAACTAAAAAAATTTTATTGTCACCACTATTTAATATGTTCATGAGAGGTCACCAACCATGAAGGAATTTATTCATACCACTTATTGGAGACATTTCTAGCGGTGCTTTATAAGATTAAAATAAAAAAAATATCATAATTTATTTATGGGAAATTCGATTTTTATTGATAACACCAAAAGATGTGGGCCTTGCGGCTGCCGACGTCCTTATTATAAATAAATGGGGCAATGCATTTCACCACGGCATGTTTCCTAAACTGTTTGGGAAAGAATGATTTATTGTAATAGTGAAGGCAGTTTTTTTAGTTACAATTTTTTTATAAATATATAATATTATGTATTTGTTAAATTTATATTTTTTGTTTGCTTAAACATTTTACTGTAAATATTAAATTTTTTTATGTTCTATTTTAATTTTATTCTTTAATTAAGGCAAAATATGAGCTCAAATTAAAAAAAAAACAAATTATTCCATCAGTAATCTTGCATAGAATGAGTGTCAAATATACTTAAAGTTTAGGGTAAGTGTGGGACAATTTTGTGACTACATTAGTTTTCAGATATCAACCACAATTCCGTCTAGCTACTATTTTATTGTTATTTTCTCATTGTTGCTCAGAAATTTCTGTGACAAAAATTTTTTTTTCTAATCATAATACTGAACTTTTTTTTCACAGTAATTTTCCAATCAACTTTATAAAAATGTTATAGTCGTGCTAAATAGACCCTTAATTAATAAGAGGTTTCTTTAAGTTAACCGCTCGGTTGTGCTTATAAAATCTCACATTTCCTAATGATAGAGAAAATAAGAATGAAGAATCCATTGGCCATGTGATCCATGATGAGGCTCCGTCTGAAGGCAACAAAACAAAGGCAACGGCATGTTTTAGGATATGAAGAACCACATAATCATAAATGCTCTCACTCGCACCAATTCTTTTCAACATAAAAAATACATGAATGCCATCTCTTATGTGTAAGCATCAAAGACTTCTCCAGCCATAAGAGGAGAAGCTAAAACCACAGCAAGCAAGCAAAAATACAGCAGAGGCAAGATAAAAAAGAAAATCATATAGGAACCTCTCTTCTAATTTTTCATCTTCTGGTTTTCTAGATGAATAGTGAGGTGACGTAAATAGTAAACAACAATGCAAACAACATGAAGAAAAAGAGCTTTTTTAATACCTTGCACGAGAAGTTATCTGCTAAGAAAAAAAAAAAGAAAAAGAATGAAGACTAATATTTACAGTGAGGTACATCACTGACTTCCTAAATCTTCTAACCATGAACCTTTTAACATACCTGCTCATTTTCATGCATCTCCCAGCTTTTTTCATGGTAAGGTGCTTTGTAGAAAGGCTAAGTAAATACATATTACACTTGTGATGGCTAATCAAGGCAGAGTCTCCAAAGTACAGACCCATGTGAGAACCATGTGAGAAATTTATATCACAAAAAATTTAATTAATACTCCAACCTAATCACTTTCTCTTCACACACACACCTACATTTCTTCATTCCTTCTGTACTGATATAAAGAACTTTTCCACAAAAAAAAAAGAACTAAAACAATAGTTTTTTTTTTTGGGACATTTAGGCCATTTAAGGCAAACTCACACACACTACGCATACACATAGACTCAAACCCTGAACCTCTTAGTTGGAAGCCTAAGCTCTCAACCAATAGGCCAAGGAGAGTTGTGTACTAAAACAATAGTAATATGCGAGCTCAATAGTTATCACATTTATTAAAATTAGGATAATTAAATATATCCTTAATGAGAGTTATGGTCACGTACCTGCCCAGAAATCATCAAGATATCCATTTTATATATTTAAACATATCTATGTAATATCATATAGAAATATGAATGATAGAGGCAATCACTTATTGTGTTTGATGAGCAGAGCTCAGAGAGTCAGACAAGAAATAGATATTCAAATGCAATGATGTATGGACATAAAGAACACTTTTTTTATGAGAAATATTCAATTTGACCCACTCAAATTAACCCATTTTGCATATGATATTTAGTTATATGTCATTTAAAATAGAGCATAGAGCCAGCTTTGTCATACAAAATTTCAGATGTTGCGGTCTTTGTGGCGTCTACTTCTTCAATTCTAATTACATTTACAGATTGTGCGGTATATGTGGTAAGAATCCTCTATGATCTATATATGCGTGTACAGACATAGCATTCAAGTCCTTAACCACTCAAGCACATGATTGTCAACTTTGCCTTGTACATTTAATGTAGCAGGAAACAGTTGTGCCTCATTGAATTCGACCGACCCCATTCCATGGAGTACTATATATGCAGCTCACTCCATGCTCAGTGTAGCAAACTGTAAAGCAAGCCAAACGAAGAAGATAAGTCAAGCGAGATGAGTAGCTCTAAATGGGCGGCGCTCGCATTGTTGTTTTTCTTGAGCTGTTTCAGCGTTGGCGTTATTGGTAGGGTGTTGTCGAGTGTGGACGAGGAGAACCAATTGTGGTTGGCTAAGGGAGGAGGCTTAGGTTTTGGTGGAGGTGCTGGAGGCGGTGGTGGGTTTGGGAAGGGTGGAGGGTTTGGTGGAGGAATTGGCAAAGGAGGAGGTTTTGGTGGAGGTATTGGAAAGGGAGGAGGGTTTGGCGGTGGGATAGGGAATGGTGGAGGGCATAGTGGTGGAATTGGCAAGGGAGGAGGCCTTGGTGGTGGGATTGGGAATGGTGGAGGGCATAGCGGAGGAGTTGGCCAAGGTGGAGGGCTTGGAGGTGGGATAGGAAATGGTGGAGGGCATAGTGGTGGAATTGGTCATGGAGGAGGGCTCGGCGGTGGGATAGGGAGTGGTGGAGGGCATAGTGGTGGAATTGGTAGTGGAGGAGGGCTTGGAGGTGGGATAGGGAATGGTGGAGGGCACAGTGGTGGAATTGGGCACAGTGGTGGAATTGGCAATGGAGGAGGACTTGGCGGTGGTATAGGCAATGGTGGAGGACATAGTGGTGGAATTGGCAATGGAGGAGG